GCGCGTTGTGTGTGACGTCTTCTTTTGCGCAAGCGGGCGGCTTTGAGGGTTCACACTAGAGCGCGTTTGCTGTCACATTTTATTTGTAGTGTGAACAAGCAGACAGAAAATTGGAATTGAGCATTAAGACCTGCAGTGTGAACGTAGCCTTAGTGACTTTAAAGCTCATCATTATGTCTGCTTTGTTTAACAAAACAAAATGTAAAAACCGAAAATGTGTGGCTGTTTAGGAGGTTAGGGTTTTTTTTGATAGGTAGGAAACGAGCAAAGAATGAGGGATGTGTGGTATGCGACAAAGATTTGACAGTTGAAACAAACTGTGGGGGTAGCAGTTACGTGGTATCCCAAACCATTTGACTTGGTTGCCAGGAAACCACTGGAGACAACTAGAACTGCTGGTAGGCAGATTTACTATATATGGACTGAGACAGGTATGCTGTTTCTGCAGTCTTTTTGCAACGCTGGGCTAAGATAACGTCTCACGGCTCTATATTTAAGGTACAGTGTAAGGAAGTGGAGAAGTGCTTAAGACATTGATTCTGAACCATAGCTGTATATAAAAGATGGATTTAGCCACAGTGACGCCACCCACTGGAAGTCCATTTCTGAAGCCTTAAAACAGAGACAGTATTTTGTCTTGTGGGTTTTTGTTGTTGTTTTATTTTAAACCAGATGGGTGAATCTGAATGACATGAATGTGAATCTCACATGGCTTGTTAATCACGATGTAAGCAAACCCAAAATAATATTCTTTTTCATCTTCTATTTTACTCTCCTTAAGAGCATGATTGCCAATTCAACTGAGGTCGTTTCGACAAGCAGATTAGTTTTCCCCTTGCTGGGTACTACAATGAACACAGATTAAAGTCCCTTCTGAATTGGCTCCACTTTGCAGAGCTGGTTTCTATATCAAGTGTGTTTTCAAATTTTTAGTTAGCACCAAATAACAACTACAGTTGCCTCAAGATGCTTTAAATTTTAAAGACCCTGCAAAAATACAGAGAAAAAAGCAAAACCCCCAACAACCAGATGACCCCCTATGAGTAAGCATTTTGGTAACAGTGGGAAGGAAAAACTCCCTTTTAACAGGAAGAAGCCTCCAGCAGAACCAGACTCAGGGAGGCACAGTCACCTGTTATGACTGGTTGTGGGTGAGGGGAGGAAGACAGGACAAAAGACACGCGGTGGAAGAGAGTCCGAGATTATTAATAACGAATGAAAATAAGTAATAATGAATTGTAACTGATTGTATGTACAGCCTGTTTCTAACGCTTTCTTTGTGAAAAAGAAACAAACATACTTACTTTTGTTAGCTTCTAATGCAATACATTAATGTAGTAAATTAACATATATGAAGCACACATTCAGTTTAGCTTGTGTCACATTTAAGCCTGTGATCCACACTCACTGATACTGTGGAAGATCTCATTAGAAAGAATAAGGAGGCTGGGATAGATGTCTCAGTTACTGTCACTGTCAGTGTCATATTCTTCTCCCTCTCCTCTTTCCTTCTCTCCATTATTTCACACAGATCAGACTGCAGCTTTGTGCAGTTTCCCCCCCTTTTTTACACTGTCCATTCATTATGAAGCATCTCTCATCCTCCCACGTTTCAGTCCCCATCCTTTCATTTCCTTCACTTTTCTTGTGTGTCCTCTCTAAAACCCACAGTTATTCTATTTATCTCTCGCAGCCTTCTCTCTATCTCTATCCTATCCTCATTTTCTCCCGCTCTATCACTGCATGTTCCAAGAGAGCCAGAAAAGAGAGAGCTGGAATAGAGAAAAAGGAGAGAAGAGAAGAGAAGAGAGGGGAAAAGGAGAAAGACATGAGAAGAATATACAGGGAGTACATGTTCACCTGGATTTCTGTTTTCAAGCCCCTGCTCCTCCCCCTCCTGCTGCCTCTGTTTCCTCTCAGTAACAAATGTCAAAGCATGCAGACCCGCTGCCTCAACCTCCTCCTCCCCCTCTTCAGCTTATTATTATGACTTTCATTACAAAATACCAAAATCTGCCCTTTGCTACATCAGTTCATTGTTCCTCAAAATAATCCACTTTGCCTATTCTGGTCATTTTTTTGCTTTGTTTTCTTCTAAAAATCAGCCAGCTACTTTGGGCTTATGGTGACGTGGCAGAAAGTGGTTGGGAGAATGATTCACGCAGACAAATGAAACACACTGCCTTTACATATATTCTCTTCCAAAGATGCATAAAGGGCATATTTTACTGCATGTATGTATATATTATTTATGATTTCCAGCAGTGGGGATGTTTTAATAGTAAACTCATTTTGTGCCATTTCCAGCGATCACCGACTGAGTCTTTTAGCCACACATGTGGGACGGCTGGAGAGACAGAAATTTCCACTGCTTTTTTGGCAATAATGAATAGAAGGATTGCCATGAAGTTTTCCACTGACATTTAAAATCCTAAAATGATGAATTCTACTGACATTGAGGAACTTCATAGCTCTCCTATACCATCAGATTAGGCTAGCACATTGTAGCATGCTAAACATGCATGGTAAACATGGTAGGACAGGGCGATTAAAACTGCTTAAAAGAGGGCAATTTCAGCTGCAGTGCGTCAAACACATTACTATGCATCACTGTGACATCACAGTGGTTGTAGTACAATTGTAAGGAATGATTAACTGTATTCTGCTGCTCCAATAGGTCTGGGTGAATTGAGATGAAGGATTGTTGTCCTGAGTTAATTGTTTCATTTAGCATCATATGCGAGAAGACCAAAAATCCCAGACATTACTCTATTAAAAATCCAAAACCTTACCTTATACATACACTTGGACTGATCTTTCTCTTAAGATGATCTTCTCATGCACCTCTGCAATGTTATAAGCGTGCTTGCAGTTTTTGGATCACTCTGTAAAAAAACAAACAAACAAAAAAGCCCTAAAACCACATTTGTATTTATTCCTCTGATGTGTGCTGGACCTCACTGCGTTTCACCATTGGGAAGTAAATAAAGTCACAGGGAGGCAAATTCTATTTAATTCAGTTTTGTTTATATAGCACCAATTCACAACATCAATCGCCTCCAAGTGCTTTAGACTGTAAAGATGTTAGAATAATAGATGCCCTATGAGGAGGACTAGGTGACAGTGGGAAGGAAGAAGAAGAGACCTCGGCACAACCAGGCTCAGTGAGGGGCAGCTATGTGAAAGAAAGGACCAAACAGAAGCCATTGGAGAGAGAAGACAAAACTCAATGGCATGCAATCATGGCATTTAAACACGCGGGGACTGAAAAGAGGGAAGTGGAGAAGAGGTGCTCATTGCAATGGGAAATCTTCTGGCACGCCTAAGCCTGTGGCAGCTGATCCAACTCTAAGTATTTGCTTTATCAAATATGAAAAACTTCGAAGCCTGATCTTGAAAGTAGAGATGCTGTCTGTCTCCTGACAGCTGAAGGCTCTTACTTTTCAAAACTCTAGGAAAAACAAGTAAGCCTACAGTCTGAGAGTGAAATGCTGTGATAGGATAATACTACTACTACTAATAATACATTTCATGTACAGATGACTTTCACCTTTAAATAAGAACACCTGACAAGGAATTACTTACCAAAGTCACAGTATACATAAAGTAGTTAAGAAACGCCATAGAATAAAAAGCTAATACATCATAACCTCAAATTCAAACAGAATAGGCCATTTTTAAATAAAATATGTGTTTTATGACTGGCTTTAAAGATCGGGAGAGAATCAGTATTGTGAGTTAGGTCCGGGAGAAAGAGACCCAAAGACAAGGGGGCACTTGGCTGAAAGCTCTAAGGCTCTAAATTAATGCAGTATATTATCCTACTGTGAGGTCTTAAATTTGCAAAAGAAAGGGTGGCCAAACCGCTCTTTTCTTTTTGTTTTACATTTATTTGTGCCATTGTCATTTGAAAGAGAGCTATCTTCTAAGGTTCGATAGATGTGTCGAAGTGATGTAATTCTGACTGTCTTAACCTAGTTCTCATCTGCATTACTTTAAGTTTAGGCATCTAAGCTACCTGAGTGTGATATGTGATACAAATTTTATGAGGCAATGAGATAAGCGTTATAGAAAATGCGCAGTGATGAACAAGAAATATTTAGGACGAGTATAAAAGCACAATGTCGGCCACAGCGCAACTACATATTTAATGTGCCTCCAGGCTGTCGGTTTAGCCTCCGTATGATCGCTCTTGTGATGGGAGAGAAAAGGAGCAGAGGTAAAGAAGGTCCCAAGTCACAGATGGTTTTTGTTTTTTTTTGGCTTAACACAACTGCAGGTGTAAGCAATGGCTGAATCCCATTTAATAGCTAGTGAAAAAAAAGTTTTATTAGTAGAATTGTACCTCTGCCAGTACAAAAGGTGGCGTACACATCAGTTTGAGAATACAAAGGTGATCAGAGTTTGGCGAGCGAGTACACGCGCGCACTGCCATGATTCAGCCAGCCAGTGATGACTTGGCTCTGGAGTTTATCATCTGTCGCTGTTTAAGGTCAGACAAAAAAAAAATAAGATAAAAAAAAATACAGGAGACAAATACCAGCTGACAGGGTCACCCCTCAACAGCAGGCCAGTCCTGACATTTGTGTGCGTGAGTGTGTGTGATGCCACAGATATAGTTTACCTCACTTGGACAGTGTGCTGCCATCTGCACTGTCCTCGCCCGCTGACCTTTGTGTTCTTTGTTTTCTCAGTTTTCAAAACTGTTGAAGATGAAAAAGACTTTTTAGAGCTTTTCACTTTTTCACTGTGTCTTTTATGGTGTAAGAACTCATTTTTGCTGCCTCTGCAGTAAGTGTGTAAAACCAAACTGTGGTTGAAATCGAAACTTGGTGTCCTTCAGCCCCGGGGAGCTGCTGCTGCGGCTGTAAGACAAGCTTTTCCACTGTGTTTTATGAGACACACTGCACGTCAAGACGTCCTTTTATTTGAGCTCTTCTCCCCTATTTGTACTTTCACGATCACCTGACTCTCTGTCCTCTCTTGTCTCTTTTGTCAAGCCAAACTTTCCGGCCCCTTCTCCCCCCCCAGCCCATCGGCCCTCCAGTCCAACAGGACCATGATGCTCAGCAGCTCCGTGGAGGTGCCCCGCCCGGGAGGGATGAGTGGCTTGAGCGGGCTGAGCACGGCTGCCCGGAACGTGGTGCGCTCCTCCAGTATCTCAGGGGCCATGTACAGCCTGGAGAAAAGTCCTGGCAGCGGGGGCCCAGACTCTGCATCACTGACTGGGACTAAGAAGCGGCGCTCCAGTTTGGGTGCCAAGATGGTGGCCATCGTGGGGTTGTCACAGTGGAGCAAGAGCACACAGCAGCTCAACCAGCAAGGTCAGTTTACAGTCTAAACTACTTAATCTGTCAGTCGTTCTCTCTATGTATGTTCACTTTCTGATTCCACCTTTCTGACACTTTCACCAAGGCAAATTCATCTGTTTTTCCTCATTTCCCCAGCCGTCATCCTCATAGCTTCTGTTTTTTCTTTCTGTATCCTTTCCTTAGTTCTAACCTTGGTCTTTCCCCATCTGTTTTATTGTGATTTTAAAAGTTTGAAGATTTTAGATTCTTTTTAAAATTGGGGTTTTGTTATTTCGAAGAGGAAGGAGGATCATTTTTATCCTCCTGAATTTTCTTTAACACTTGTTCCTTTAAATTGATTTAAATACCTTGCTGCAATTGTTAAAATGACACTAAAACTGTTCTAACAGAATAATTATTATTATAGTTAACATTAGCATAATCCACTCTAAAGTGTATCTGGGGTTATTTTGACAGCTACAGTATTTGATTGAACAAGCTTTATCTTTTAAGGTGTTAGTATTGTAGCGAGTCCTTTTTGAAAGGCTGCAGCACATTTGTGAGCGTCGCCGTGTGTTGAACTCTGCAGCGGGTTTGCAGCGGCAGCAGCAAGTACGCATGGTGATTGTTTGGTAGCGGCATTATGTTCTAATGCGTCTCCTGCGGCGTATAATTACAGATCCTGTGCAGCTGCAAGAAAAGCGTTTCTCACTTTGCGCCTCAGTGGCGAACACAAACCTACTCTTTCCTGGTGGAAAATAAGAAAAACATGTCACACACTGAGACTTTGTAAAGGCTGAGAGGCATGGGCAGGAGGGGCAAGGGGAGCAGGGGATGCATCTTATTTGAGTGCAGCCAAATTTTTCCTTTTTTCTTTTTCATTCCTCTATCTGTCAGTATGAAAGAAGTTGTTCATCTCCTCGTGTCCTCTTACACATTCTGTTTCTCGTCTCAGCACATCAAACTGTAACTTTTACAGAACAGAGTGTTCGTGTCTGCATGTTTCTTTCTTTCTTCTTGCCTAGCTGTACACCGTCTGTGTCTAATTCTGTGTAAGTGTTGAAATATATCACAAGATCTGGCTCTCTGCTGCTTTGTGCAGCAGCGTGTTTTTACCGGTACTTTAAATTATATAAGCGCTTTATTTTAAACAAAAATGTCAAATATGTATTTATTGTACCTGCTCAGTTGTGTATATTTGTCAGTCAGACAAAACGGTGCAATTGAAAGATTTCACAATAAACGGCATTGACTCATCTGCAAACACTTGCCATTTATTTTTTAAGCTGTTTTGAAACCAAAAAAGGTGTAGCACAAACCGGAGAACATTCACCTTCAAAGTAGAAGTTGTGCTATGCTCTTTGCACCAAATTTAACACTAGTGACTCCCAGCAGCCTCCAGCAATCACTTGCTAACTGGTTGCAGAATACACACTTGTCCCTGGGTAACAGTGCTTACAAGTGGGCATTATTGACCGGTCTAAAGGCTTTTGTGAGTGGAGAATTCGATTTCACAGTGACTGCTCCAGCAATCGGTTGGAGAATGCACATTTTCCCCTCGCAATTTGTTATTGCCGTATGGCGCATGTTTGGCTATGCAAGTGGGGCCTAACTCTAGCCCTAGATATCTTATAGCCTTTTCCCACTAGTACCAGCGTGGGTTGATGCTGTTTTTAGGGCTTTCCATAAAGTGGTAGTATCTGGTACCAGGTACTTTTTTAGTACCTACTCGGCCAGGGTTCCAAGCGATCTGAGGTGAAAATGTGACATCAACAGACTGCATGCCACTGATTGGCTAGTCAGTGGCTTCAGTTAATGAGTCATGAGCCCTATGAGTCCCTTCATGAAAATACATTCCAGCAATATGGGAAATGGCTACACAAAAAGCAGCACAGTGGTTCCCGAGTCTGACAAAAAGCCATACAACGAGCAGCAGGTATACCATCGTCTCAACATCCTCCATTGTTGTGGTGTTGGTGTTGAATATAAATGATGTCACAGGACTTTTGGCTGCGTTGCTACAACGAACCCATGCACATTTTGTGATGGTATATTGCCAAGTTGAGCTAGTGGCTATTAATTGACACTGTGATACTCTGTGGGATGCTAAGTTTGGACCTTAAAGCATATTATTTTTCATAGAATTGTGATTTATTCTTAGAACTCCACCGAGTAATTGGCCAACGGCTGGCATATGACAGTTTTGTGCCCTAACCAGAGACCAGCTCTTCAGCCTAATGAAAGTCCGATTATGAACTGGTCTGCTCCATGAATGGGCAACACATGCACAGCGGCGCAGGCACATAGCTGTATGCATGCTCACATTAATACTCTAGCATGCAGTTAGTGTGGTAGCTCTTCACGCAGAGTGAAAAAACAAAGTTTGACAAAGTAAACTGTAGGGGGACAACCATGAAAATGTTCAGAAAAACAGAACTAATCAGACACTTAAATCACCTTCAGCCTGAACATGGACACTTTAAAGAGGCTTACAAAAGCAAAGTGGCTGTCCAGAGCTCAGAGCCAGCCAGAGGCCAGCTGCCCTGGTAAGAGCAAGAGGATCAAAGCAGTTATGGGGATAATTACAAAGTGCAAGTGTCTGGTGAATTTAAAAACATGCTGGAAAATGATGTAAGTACTTGAAATTTGTTTTGTTATATAACTCTGTCGGCCTGGTTTTGTTTGGTAAAGTGAAAAATGTCAGGTTTGTCCGGGTAATTATTTGTGCTGCTTTTCAGTAGCAGATCACTTTATTTTGGAGCTATCTAACTGAGAGAAGCAAATTCTGTAACTGACTCCAGTTTAGGGGGTAAATTGTAACATTTAAAGAAAGCACATCTGTATCAACTCTTCAGACACAGCAGCTACATCCATCTTTTATGTACAGATTCTTTATTGAACTCATTTGGCATGTCCCGTAAGTTATAATTTGACATTATATTTATTTAGGTAAAAAATTTGGGTCAGTGTTTAAACACTGTACAGCAGCCGAAGTATAAATTTTCTGGCTATAGCGCATCTTGATATGTGTAGGACTGCATGTTTGTCAAACAAGGTCATTTGATTCACTTATTAATCGGCTTTTATTTGTACCGCAAATGTACAAAGACAGGCAGTTTAGCTTTTCTTTCTGTCTCCAGCGACAGCTTATCCTGAAGGATAAGTAAGAAGAAAGCAACCATTAGATAAATGCAAACACATCCACTCACCATAATTCTGCATTGTTATCCCCTATCATTACCTGCCTTTGAAATCAGCTTAAAATGGCTGTTGTAACCAGGGCTCTGTGGACACACACACACTCATACACAGTGACACAAACAAAGAGCTTGCTTCACTCATCACAGCTGACACTTGTCTGACGCAGGGAGAACTGTCGATATTTTCACCACGGGGGCTTTCGTGTCGTGTTTGCGGTGATGAAGAGAGCACAACAAAGGGAAAGTGCAGATGGGGAGGCTAGGAGGGGCTGACGAGGTAGAGAAGAGGAAGGGGAGACAAGGGGTGCATCTAAATTTAGATGTTCTCAGCTGCCGGAGCAGCACATTGTGCCTGGAACAAAATCACAGTATCGTAGATGGCTCTTTCTTCTTCTTCCTCTTCTGTCGATACCACATCTCACCGCATTAGAAGTTCGCTAGTTTTCTCACTTTGCTGCGCTGGCAACAGGTTATGAAATGATTTTTTTAAAGCACACCTCTGATGAGCTGAGACTCAGTACGAGATATGAATAAAGAAATCTGTTCTCAGTCCTATAACAAGATATTCTAAAGTAGAGTGGTTTAGATCATGACCGTGGACACAATATCTTATTAAAAATAAGCTACTAGCAGCCAATCTGATAAACTGAGCTATAAAGTGTCACTTAAGCAGGAGAGATGGGTCACACACACAGGTCAATTGTGTGCAGCCCATCTAACAGAATCTCATAGAGTCAACTGCAGCTTTGTAGATACAGAGCCTGCTGACAGTGGCATCAGCGTTATATCGATTTCAATGTTTTGGGGAAAAAGAGAGAACTGATGGTGCTTTGTGACTCAGTACTGATAGATATCCCGAGTATCAGAATCAGTTTGGCCATTGCATCTCCAAGCTGATTAAGTGGAGGGTAGGCTCAGACTCAGACAGTCAACATTCCAATTGATTTAGGTGTAAATTGAATCACTGTCCAGGTCTTTTTACGTAACAGTCACCCAACAAGATTATGTCACTGCTCTACTAGGAATTTGCCTGTTTCTCAAAGCTTAACCAGGTAAAGACTGAAAACCTGTTGCTGGAAGAAAAAAAAACAAGGTTGTTTACTCCAACCTAACATGTCATCAGCTCATAGTTTACACCAGCTAGAAGGACATATCAGATGCAGATAATTAGGCATGTGACCCACACACAACATTCCTTCTCACTTGGACGGGTTCGATTAGGGTCCTTTCTTTTCTTTGCGGCAGTCAATAATGACCTAGTCCGGTCAGCTCTTGGTGCTCCATGTTTAGAATGACACCAGCATCGATTGACCAGAGGGGGGTAGGTATGTGCGGAAAAGATGACCAGCTAATAACCAATAACACACAATATTGATGCAGATTTGGTCTTGGACTGGATGCATGAATGGGAAAGGAAAACGAACCCAAAACTCAACATAGATTATTTCATTAAATGACTTATTGATTGATTTGATTGGATGTTGTTGGGGAAGGGAACCTTGAGGAGAAACACAGACTCTCTCCGCAAATCTATTAAATGCATATACAGTAACTTCAGTGTTCTGCATGTGTTGTGCTCTATTTTTTCATAACTTTTAAAATGAGATCACAAGCAGCCTTCTTGTTATCTAGTAAAAAAAATGGATGGTTCTGCTGCTGCAAACAATACAGTTTGTGTGCAAAACGTGAACACGGTGAAGGAGAATGATGAAGAATGTGACTTAGCAACGAGGTAACTGGTAGACACCAAAATGTAAAGACATTGAAGGAATATGCCAGCATCTTACTGATAAAACGCTTTTAGGAGGTAATGCACTTGTGGTATTATTGTGT